CTTTTCTGGGAACTTGTCAAAAGCATTAAGTACTCAAAGTAGGAGGCTAAAGCACAAGAATTTGAAAACTAGATGTCAAAATTCATCTACCTAGCTGGCAATCTACATGCATACAATCAAAAATTGACAGTCCATGTTATGTTCAATCTAGGAAAACAATGAAATTTAAATCTTACCTGTCTATAGTATTTTTCATATACAGGATTCCCACTTGATAACTAAAATAAATAAATAAAATAGAAATTATATGCTATTCAATAACTTACATTAACATATTTGGCATTCATTCAACAGATATTTGAGAAACAAAGATGAATAAGATACCCTTGATTTCAAGAAGTTTGGTTTTGTTTCTTCTTGGGAGGGGGCTGAGAGACAGAATAAAGAAAGACAGGCACATGGGTTACTAAGAACCAAGTAGACAAGAAATATAACAAGAATCTTAAATTTATTTTTTACATCAGAACTCTTTGCCTTATACAATTTTATCCCCAAACCCAACATATAACAAATATGGGTGAAATGCTTTGGTTAAAGCCACTGGAGAGGTCCAAAGCCCCAAGCACTGATCCTCTACCCAAGTACCCAAGGTACCTACGAATACAGTTCAAAAACCACTTCAATAAAATAATCAAAGGAATATGCAAACTGATAAAGAAAAAGATGACAGTGATGTCATCAGATCTGAATTGCTTACAGGCAGGCAGTGCCATTAAATTCACACAACAGTTCAATGGGTTCCTTGGTCAGCTGATAAACAAACTTAGTATCTCATCTAAAAGGCAGCTTAGTAGTATCAATGTTTAAAGGCTCAGGTTTGCCTGCACATCAATGGGTAAAAGTGTTCTGGAACCAGGATTGCAGTCCAGGAAGGCTTCATGGGGGTTGACACAGAGCAGGAATTTGAGGTATGGAGAAGATGGGGAGAGGGTGATTCTACACAGAGATAACAGCATGCACAAAGGCATGCAATCAAAAGAAAACATAGTTATGTCTGTAAAGAACAGCCAGGAGTTCTGAATGGTAAAAGGGATGGGAAATAAGATTGTGAAGTTTTAAGACAACTTATAAAGTGCCTCATCTGCTAGGGCAGAAGTAAAGAAAATGAGGATGGAAAAGGGGACAGATTCAAGAGTTATTAACTTGGTATTAACTCTTGGTATTAGGTAATAATTTACCTGGAGAGACAAAGTAGAAGCAGAATATAGGGGGCTACTTATGAAGTAATTTTAACAGTCCAGTTAAGGATCGAAGGCAATGGCAGAAAAGAAGGGTATGGTTTGAAGAAGAGTTTATAAGATAGATTTGACAGGACTTAGGTGG